ATAAGTGCATGTAGTTTAAGCATATGATTTATATATATGTAATTTATCTCTCTCTCTCTCTCTATATATATATATATATATATATATATATATATATATATATATATATAAATTATTGGCCTGGCATGCTACCTCTTGGGGTAAAAAAAATTTATTGGTAGGCTACCTCTAATCGACACGGATTTGACACATATTTATCGATGATATCGTGCCAAATAGCTCATGCTAAAGTGTTTTTTGCAGAAATTTGGCATATCCCTATCCGATCCTCCATAGATTTTGGCGAATCTCTACCAAAAATTTCTTTAATGTCGTGTGTTTTTTGTAGTGAAAGTCATTGGATCTATTCACCTATAGATGCGTGCAACATAGAAATAATATAATTGTACCCCATATGATGCATATGTATCGAGTATATAGCACCCAAGGGGAACTTATACACCATTAATATAAGGAATACTCCGTAACCCCAATGCCAAAGAAAAGAAGAAGAAGAAATTATACTCGATGGCAGGGAAAAGAAAGGGCGGACCAATCCAAGTGCAGGAGAAAAGTAGAAGATGGGGCCAGCACGTAGCTAGTTCCTTTACTCCCGTCCTCCATCTTTGAATTTTAGTCAATCATGTTCAACTTTGTTCAGAGTATATTTTTAAAAAAATATTTTGAATATAAAATGATATAAAATGTTCTTTTTCGTAAAAAAAAAATTAAAAGTATAAATTTTATAATTTTCATAGTATTACTCATTGTTCTAAAACTCGCTAGGCGCTAGTCGGGCGGTAGAGGGGCGCCTAACGCCTAGGCGGCCGACTAGGCCGATTTTTCGGCCGACTAGGACTCTACGGTTAGGGCCGCCTAGGCCGATTAATCGGTCCGCACAGGCCAATTTTTAGAACAATGGTATTACTTTATACTAATTAAAATCCTTATCCAAACTTTACCATCATTAACTTGCAAGTTGTAAAGTCATAGGTGTTAAAGCTGAACATAGAGGAATGATCCTGTCCAGCAGCCCCCGGTCCGAACAGTGTCCGAACATGGCCATTTGGGGCACTCCCCGGTGGAATTTTTTGATGAAATTTTTTGAGCATGTTCTTCATCAAGTCTAGTTTGTTCATACCAAATTTCAGCTCAAAATTCATTCGGGAAGGCATTCAAATCATTTTTTGAAGTTGACTGCGTTTTTATATGTATAGTTTGACGCAGTCAACTTCAAAAAATGATTTGAATGCCTTCCCGAACGAATTTTGAGCTGAAATTTGGTATGGACAAACTAGACTTGATGAGGAACATGCTCAAAAAATTTCATCAAAAAATTCCACCGGGAAGTGCCCCAAATGACCATGTTCGGACACTGTTCGGACCGGGGGCTGCTGGACAGGATCATTTCTCGCTTAACATAATGTTTTACAAATTAAAAGGGGGGTAAAATTATAAAGTGTCTTAACCTTCATAGGTATTTCTTGATTTTTTTGAAAAATATTTCAACAATTTTTTATAATCTTTCATATAGCACTAATACTGCACATATAAAGTACAAAACATACGAAGTATAAATAATATTAACGGCTAGAAATATTTGTGTCCAAATTATATTTAGGCAAATATAAATGCAATAGTTAAGATAGAAAATAACTATAAAAATTAAAATCCAAATTTATTTATTTCTACCTCGGAATGTTTAAATTTTCAAATTATAATTATTCGTAAAAATATTTGTCATAACATCATTTACAATTATAAATGTAAATATTTATGTATTGTATTTTGAAAAAAATAATGCAAGGGAATATATTGAACGATGTTAAATTGTAGAGAAAAACAGAATTAAGATGATAAATAATATGGAAAAAATTGTTTGTACACATAATTTGTATACATTTTATATACACACCTCGAATTGTACCTCGCAATCGTTCAGAAGCTGCCTGTGTACACATACAACTAGGAGTGTGTACATAAAATGTGTACAACTTATGTATATAGCAAAAATGATCCAATAAGTATTATTGTCTTTGTCCCAAAATTATCTTCAAACTTTCTATTTCTGTTTCTTTTTAGCAAAGAATTTGTGGTTTACAACAGTTTTTCTCTTCTGTACACAACTCTCTATCATACATTACACGTACACTATCTTAATCCTCACTAGTCATTTGTACTTTAGGAGATAAATGCGAGACGAAGGGGAACTCCATATACAGTTATTCTATAAACTATTTGGAAATTAGGTTACGGGTATTATATACTCCCTCCGTCCCGCAAAGATGTTCCCGCTTTCCTTTTTTGGATGTCTCAAAAAGAAGTTCCCTTTTCCCTAAATGGAAAATTATCCTACATCAAAACAGTGTCAAACAGTGCCAAACAGTGTCTAAACAGTGCCGAACAGTGTCTAAACAGTAAAGTCAAATTTATTTCCAAAATATGTGTGTAGGTCAAACCGGGAACATCTTTACGGGACCGAGGGAGTACGTAGTATTGATGTGTGACATTCTCTATTAATAATGATTGTGCTGAAAGAAAAAGGGTACGTGAATGATTGAATGGGAAAAAGCAAAAGTGTGAGAGTCACGTACACATGAGGTAGATGAGTAGAAATGAGCTGTCTTTGCCTGGTCTTTGTAAGACATGCACATGGCCGCTCATGCTAGCTTGCAAGCATGCCAGGCCAGCATCATATGCATATGGAATGGTTCTAAAGCTAGCTTGGAAATTAAAAGAAACTATTTCTTCTTGACCCGCCCCATGCCAACCAAATCATAGCTAGCTATTTATCTCATTCAAAAACTGTTTAATTTGAGAAGATATCATAATTACTTTTCCACAATTCTGTCGGATCGCAGGGTGTAGGCCGGTAGAGGCGCTGAGGGCGGTCTATTCCACCTTTATGTGTGGAAATTATACCTAGCTATAGAGGTGGAGTCAGGGCACTGAGCCTCAATGGGCCAGTATAAATAATATTTAAAAGAAAAAATACACGAATTTTTTTACGACACTTTTTTAATTTAGGGTAGACAGAAACCTAGGTTGGCCCCCCAAGCTAATATCCTGCCTAGCTAGTTACCTCACTCAAAAATTGTTTAACATTATACTGTAATTTACTTGTTCACAGTGTAATTTACTTGTCCACAATTTTATCCGAGTGTAAGGGGACCGAGAGTGGTATATTCCGGCTTTATGGGTGGAGGTCTAGCCACTTATATGGATACTGGCAGTGGCGGACCCAGAAAGTCAGAACCACGGGGTCCCTACTCTTTTATATCTCTAATCTCTAATTAATATAAAACTAATACTCCCTCCGTCCCATTTATATTGTCCCGTTTTACCTTTTCGGGAAATCTCACTTAAATTGTCTCATACCATATTTGGCAAAGTTTGTGTGGTTCTAAATCATTCTTACTTTATTCTTACTTTATCAATTAATATCAACCAGACAAACCCACTTTTCTTAATAACCGTGTCACCCTCTTCTGTCCCAATAAAAATGGGACGGAGGTAGTAAAAAATATTAAAGAAGCATAACACCTCATAGTTAACGTACACCATCAAAATATTAAGGTATCATAAAACAAAAAAAATACATATAAAAATCATTCAACAATTCTACAGATGTACCCTCCTAAGTTTCATTTGTTGGAAATATAGAATCATCACTAATAGTTTTGGTTTATTTAATTAAAATAGGCCAAAACGATGTAGTTTTGGTCTATTTAATTAAAATAGTTTTAGAAAACAAAAAAGGTTTGTTGGATTTTTTTTTTGGTTTGTTGGAAATATTCTATAATAGAATCATCACTAATAGTTTTGATCTATTTAATTAAAATAGGCCAAAACGACGTAGTTTTGATTTATTTAATTAAAATAGTTTAGGAAAACAAAAAAGGAGCCCAAAATACATTAAGGTATTATAAAGCAAAAGAATACATATAAAAATCATTCAACAATTCCAGAGATGTACCCTCCTAAGCTCCATTTGTTGGAAATATTCTATAATATAATCGTCACTAATAGTTTTGGTCTATTTAATTAAAATAGTTTTTGCAAAATAGAAAAAGGTTTGTTGGAAATATTCTATAATAGAATCATCACTAATAGTTTTGGTCTATTTAATTCAAATAGGCCAAAATGACTTAGTTTTGGTCTATTTAATGAAAATAGTTTTGGAAAACAAAAGAGGAGCATAGGGGGATTCGAACATGGTACCCTCCCACAACATAGAAATCTAAAACGCGCGTTGCTACCGTTCTCGTGCTCCGTTCTTCTGGTTCTTAGGTCGTTTTTCATGTAAATATACACTTAGTAATTAATTTTATATAATATATGTATAATATATATAGGTATTTTTTTCGAGGTGCACGAGGTCTCCGGACCCGTGGGACCCTTACTGGGTCCGCCTCTGGATACTGGACAGTGCATGTCCTATCTATTAGTAAAGAAAGATACAGATTACAGATTATGCAGATAAAAATGTTATTCTTTATAAAGTTGTACTTAATCAGCTAGCTAGTGTACGTACTCTTAACTAACTTGTTTTTTGTAAACGTACTCTTAACTAACTTGTTGATTAATTAAATAATTTAATTAATTAATTAATTTGAGGAAGCTTTAGAAACACTTCACATGTTACGTTGCGAATATACATACGTCTTATCCGTGCGTGCGGCCCATATAATAAAGGGAAAAATGTCAGATAGACCCTCGAACTTACATGAAAAGCTAAAATAAGCCCTTACATAAGAGATTATGTCCGGCCGTCGCCATTTGGGGCGGTTCCCAGGGGAGATGTTTGATGAAATTTTTTGAGCATCTTATTCATTAAGTCTAGTTTACTCATACCAAATTTCAGCTAAAACTTCAATCGGGAAGGCATTCAAATGAATTCTTGAAGATAACTGCGTAGTTAAAAGCGCAGTTATCTTCAAGAATGCATTTGAATGCCTTCCCGATTGAATTGTTACCTGAAATTTGGTATGCGTAAACTAGATTTAATGAATACGATGCCCAAAAAATTTCAAAAAAGAATTCCACTGGGAATTGCCCCAAATGGAGACGGCCGGACAGATCCTCCTATAAAAGGGCTTATTTGACCTTTTTATGTAAGTTCGAGGGCCTATTTGATCCTTTTCCCTATAAAAATTACGTTGAATAGGGTATAAATAATGAGAAAATTCTCTAAATTGAACTAAAACAATGATAACATATATAAATAAGACTATCATTATTTTAGAAAATTCTAATCAATTTATTCTTTCAATAGGACTAAATGAGCCCTATTTGAGAAATAAAACATACGGAGTATTTAGTCTTATTTTTGCACTTTGTCCATCTCAAGGTATTACATGCATACTCCATCATCCATCTCATCAATGAGCTTGATCAACAGCAACAGCGAAAAAGGTATTAAGGACACCACACACGGAGTATATTTTTTTAACGCAGTAGGTAATTAATTAAGAACATATCTCTGATTTTTTTTTGTTATTCGAATATCTCACACCATTAATTGAAGGTTTTTGAAATTGGAAAATGTTATTTGTACACGTATCTGTACACATCATTTTACACACATACTAAATTGTTATGCACAGACAATTTTATTTGGTTTGTGAAGAGAATTGTTTCATTGTGTCGCAGATAATTCAGCTAGCTGGCGTGTACAAAAACGTGGTGGCGCTTGGCATGGCCCCTTACCAACCCAGTTTAGGCTCTGTTTGCAAACTCTATTTATAAGTGCTTTTGGCTTTTTTTTTAAAGAAAAAAAGCACTTATTTTACCAAACACTACCAACTTTTACTAACTCGATTTTCGTGTAGAATCTACTCTTTACTTTTTCTATTACACAAAAAGCACTTATTTTACCAAACACTACCAACTTTTACTACTAATCACTTTTTTCCAAAAGTGCTTTTATTTGAGCACAAGTGATTGCAAACAAAGTCTTAGTTTGCAGTGCTGGCTAAATAAGTGCGCAAGTGGTATTATATACGGAGTAGTTGGTTACAAGTTGAGAATAAATATAGTGCACAGAAAAGATGGATGGAATTGAACTATTGAAGTGGTGTGGCTAAATAAGGAAAAACGAAATGTATATGTAAATAGATAGATAGATATACCTGCGGCAGCAGCAGGATGTTTATTAGGAGTGTTTGGCTTAGATCTTTGAACGCCCAAAGAAGCAAGATTGCAGTTGGCCCTTCTCCCATCAATCACTGGTGAGGCATCCACGCATGCTCTCATCGCCGCTTCCGCCTCCCGAAACGTTACCTACCATTTGTTTTTTACCCAAAACTAATTCTTAACTAATTCACTCACCATTTTACATATACACACACACAAGTAATAATAATAACAACAACAACAAGACTCTCAATAATATTCAATTTGAGTATCTTTATATGCTTTTAATATAAGGGTCTTTCTACGGTACCTCTATTAATTAGAAGTGTACCGTACATTTTCTTAGATGGACCACTAAAAACACTACGTGTGGTCGTGTGGATATGTTAAAACTGCACAAAATAATTTAAAGTATTTGCATTTGAGTCCTTTTGCAAACGGCTCTGGTTTTTTACGGTGCAACTGCGGCGCTCTTTAACTATGAATTTTACGAATGAACCCACAGCATTCTCAAGTCTAATTCGTATGTTAATCGCCTCTTCATTACATTCGGTTTGGATTGTACTAGTATTTGATTGAGCCAACGTTTTCCACCTTCATCACTTTTTTCTAAGTGGAATTTGAACCTTGCCCTAATTAAATCCTTAAATAAATTTTGTTTAAGGATTCTATATTATATTACTCGATAGTAATTTAAAGGAAGGAGTGAATGACCACAAAGCAAATACCTCCTACTTATCAGTTATCCGTATATGTTTAATTTCCACGTGTTGTGATCGTATTTGCCCAGATAAGCAAATGTACCGTACCCTAAAAATTAATTCATGCACCGTAGAATTTTCCTTAATATAATCATATACTCGTAATTTGAGGGGGGGAAACATACTTACACAGTTTTTACACTATCCACGTATCATTCTTATTTGGAGCAAATGAGCAATTCCTTAACTATATTCAAAATAATACATCTTTAAGTAATTTAATACTCTCTCCATCTTAATAATACATCGCAATTCCCTAGAAAAATTTTGTAATTTAATAATCACTTACTATCTCCGTCCCCCTAAGTTTGGGACAAAGGGGTGTGGTGTGATTTTTAAGAAAAAGTGGAATTGTGTGGTTGATATTGAATTGATAAAGTGTGAATAAAGTAAGAATGAATTCTAACCACTCAAATATTACCAAATATGGTATGGGACAAACTTAATGGGACGGACGAAAAAGGTAAAACGAGACAAAATTAGGGGAACGGAGGGAGTAATTTTTACTTTTTATTTTATTTATTTCTTGCTACGTATATAATCCAAAATTTCGATATAAAAAAATCGTAATTTAATAACCGTAGGTGGGAGCCACGGGTAAATGATGAAAATGATGATGATTTCTTACTACATATATAACTCAAATTTGGGAAAGTCAGATGATTGGGATAATACTTGGTAAGCGATACGAATTGACGAATCCGACCGGCGATACAGCTAGCTTTGGAATAAAAAAGATGAGCTACAACTACTACTACTACGTACATATATACTAGTCCGCCAGCTGTTTTAAAAGCTAATTGCCGATTTTTGTACGTACGCAGGAGTTTCATTTATTTTTCAAAGTAATACCGACCCACATACATTTGCCCCGGCGCTAGCTAGCTTGCCTTTTGAAAGATGTTGAATTGGGTAGAAAAACTTGACACACCCTCATGTACACAGGAACGGTTTAGAAAAAACAGTAATTGTCTATATATATCTAGTCGGCTGATTGTAAAATTTACACAAAATGTGTATACCTCTACCAATGTATACATAATAGTCGGCTCATTTAGGAAAAGACAACAATTGTGTATGAACATAGAAGAATGTGTATAAAATTTGTTGAAAAAATTAAGTAATCCATAGGTCTTATTTACGTTGAAAAAATACACCTGAAATAAAAATAGTATGTTTTGGTGATGAAAAATTTGGTGTGATGAAAGGAAATAATTAATAAAAAAGGTAGGTATGTACATACAAAGCCATAGCCCTTGGATCTGCCGGTGGCCTTGTCGGAGATGACAACAGCTTCCAAGATGTCACCGAACTGCTGGAAGTACTTCTCCATGGTTTCCTTGTGAGTCTCCCAGGCCAGCCCCCCCACAAATACCTTCGTGTACGTCGTGTCCCCAAACTGCCCCGCCCCCATCTTCATCGCTGCTGCTGCTGCTGAACTCATTCGATCTTTCTTTTATACCAGGAGGTCGGCCTGGCTAGCTACCTTCCTATTCTTCAATTCGATCGATCGCTGGGATATGAATTGAATGATCAAAGTACGTACGTACATGCACTACTAAACCAACCACTCCGCCCCGCCTCTTCTTATCGATCTTTCTCCCCTGCCAGATCAGATTATGTAGGTTCAACCCACGCCAGTTTCTGATCCACAAAATATATATAGCGAGAAAGATTAAGAGACACCCAAACACACATAAATAATAAAGGGTTAGTTCCAAGGAACTAGCTAAGCTTATTTCTCACACATCCTTGCCCTTTCTTTATTTGCACTCCTCACACCCTCTTCTTTCTTAATTTTAATTGCGCCTCAATAGGGGCAGGTCTAATTAAAAGATTTCATCATTGGGAAAAGTGTTATAGTACGGAGTATTACGTAGTACTCTCCCGGAAAGTAAGAGTCCGCTTCATCCTATTTGTTAATTCTATCTTCTTTATTAACCTCAGGCACACAAATTATACTTCGTATATTATTATTACCGTGCCAATTAAACTTGATTATGTTTTAAAGGACGGAGTGAGAACTTGCTTTCTTGCATTTTTTTAAAAAAGACATCAAAATTAAGGTTTCTCATAAGTCATAACCTAACGTTTTTTTAGTATAAACTCTTACACAAACAATAATAAGCGTAGTAGTCAAACATTTTTTCCGTAAATCTTCATAATAATGACAAGTTTAACATGAGTGTTGTTTAATGATCATATGATCGAAGATGATGATCTAAACTTAACCTCGTTCTATCATTTTTTTAACCGAAAAGCGCTTATAGTAAACTCAAAAATTAAACCACCAAACATCCAACATTATGACTACCCAAACATGCATTTCTTCAAGACTCTTTATAGCCAATAGAAATTATAGCATTTGAAATTTGTGATTTGTAACTTTGTAAGTGGTGAATTATTTTCATCTTTGAAGAGATGAACCAATTAGGTCTCCACAATCGGCAATTACAAAAAGAATTGAGAGACGAGTAGTTCACTAGTTTGCATCTCTGCAATTAAGTTTTGTGCTTGTGTACTTGCTTAAGTTGCTGTATATAAAAGAAGTTTTTTTTATGTTACTGTATATTTTTTACTTTCCCAGGCACCAGCCAAACCATTTAGTTGGAACTGTTGTTCTGTTTACAACCGCATCAAACCTGGCCATTTGGGTTGCTAGAAATAATACTAGGCTTGGACCCGGTTCGGGCCACCTGGCCTGGGAACCGGCCCGGTACTGTTTGGGACCGGCCTGGGAAACCGGGTACCGGTTCCGGGTCATGACCCGGTTTTTGGGGTATCCGGGCGCAGGTATGGGCTTAGGGAAAGGTGAACCGGCCCGGCCGGTTTCGGGCCCGGTTCGAGCCATTTTATTATTATTATTTTTTTGTTTGGGCTGGGTTTAGATGGGCTAGGTGTTTCCGATGGGTTTAGGGTGGGGGGGGGGGGGGGTAGGGGATGAAATAAAAATAAAAAAAGAGATATTACCCAAAATGGGACTAAAAGAGTTTGAAAATTCTAAAATAGAATTTCTATGTTTTTATTCCCAAAATAGGACTAATTACTGTCAGGTTTTGGTAGTACCAGACTTCAAACATGACAGTATTTTCCAAATTTGACAGTAATTAGTCCTATTTTGGAAATAAAAAGATGGCAGTCCTATTTTGGAATTTTCATACCTTTTTAGTCCTATTTCAGGAACTTTCCCATAAAAAAACAAAATAGAACCGGACACGGCCCGGATGCGGACCCGACCCGACCCGGAACCGGTGGTAATCCGGGCCAATCCCGGGTCTTCACCCCAACCTTCAAAAGTCCGCTGGGCCTAGGCCTGACCCAGACCCGACCTGGCCCGGCCCGAGTCCAAGCCTAAATAATACCAAACGGTTTCGATTGGATAACCGAAACCAAACAAAACCTCAATTTTTAAGTTCAGGGTCGGGTTGGGTCAGTTGACCCGAACAATTCCGCCCACCCCTACTTATAACATTTCCAACTAAGATCCCACTTAATTCCAATTGGATCACTTAATACCGACTAATCTTGACACCTAACTGACAGATGACGCTTTTTACAACATTTTCAAAAAACTGATCAAAGGTCTCTAATGTGCAAACACAACCAACGTGAGCTATGCCAAAAGAGCCACCAGGCCATGAACTGCCATCAAAATGTAAAATATTAACAAGTTCACACGACAACAGTACGGTTTCAATGCAATTATACATGACCTGTCATCCTAGCCGGATAGACATGTTCCACCCTAACACACACAAACGTGCAAGACTTTTTTGTTGGACTAGGCCATTTCTTCATGATAGAGGTGAAGGCCGAGACCAAAACGAGCACATGCACGACGGAAAGCCATTGCCTCTGCCTTCTGCACAGCATCACCAAAACCGGGTTCTCCTATTGAAACCGTGCCTGTTGATTCCCGGAATATCTAGTTAACACAACACGAGAAGAGAAGACATGTTTGTCAGTTATCCTATGCAGCAAAATGAAACTCGTCAAAATCTGGTATGTTGTGAGTCGCACTTTTGCTAAAACTTGTTTGGAAATATGAAATTTGCATTGGTTCAAGCATGAGCAGGACGACTGACTATCTAAGGAAATAGAAAATAACAAAAACTTTCATTTATCAACCCTTGCTCAGCCTATGTTTGTTGAGGTGAAGTTTGATGAATTTTATAAAAATGTAGTCCCTCCGTCCCACCTTAAGCTTCTCACTTGTCTCTATGGGACGTCCCAACTAAAGCTTCTCATTTCTATTTTAGGAAATAATTAACAGTCATAAAGAACAAATTAATCATCAAATATTAAAAACAATACACTTCCGACATCACAGTTGTCATCAATGACCTCATTATGCTATATACCCATCAAAACTACTTCTCAAAATATACTCGAGTTACCTTATTTAATTATGTCTAAATAACTGTGTCATTTTTCAATGAGAAGATTAAGCCGGGACGGAGGTTGTATGTTTTTTTTTTACAATAATACATTAAATAATACCTAAATTATGGGTGCAGAAGAGCCATTTATCTTAATCTAAGCCATTTCAGTGTAAGCAGTCAAATAAGTTGGTCATTTTGCAGAAAATCTGGTTGCTTAGGAAAGAAAATATAACAAAACTTTCATAAATGAGCCTGTTTGTTGAGCCTTACATCCGTCCCATTTGGCCAAAGTGACTGAACCCAATGAGTTTGATAAATGATCTAAAAAAGTATTGTGATTTTAAAAATAAAATAAATGAAATCATAAATAAAATAAGAGGGCAGAAAGACCATTTATTTTCATTTAAACCATTTCAACTAAAAGGAATAAGTGTTGCATTACTTTTTCTGATTCTCTTCAAATTCAACTGCTTCCAAAAAAATCTTCAGATTCAACTATTAAACTCAAATGATTGCCTGTTTGGTTGAAGATCTGGCTGAATAGCTTAGTGCATTGTTAAAAAAAGAAGAGGCTAGCTTGCTGGTTGACTAAATAATAATAATAATAAAAAAAGAAATGGTTCTTCCAGTTCTACCTACACAGGCAGGTAGTGCCCCTATGAACATGGGGACCTTTTAAATGCACTCTAAACCTCACACACAAATGTGAGAGTGAGTGATCCAACAGTCCATGTATGAACTACTTGCTCTCTTATGTGCGAACTACTTGCCAAGTGAAATGATACCTCAGCGTCAGTCCCATAAAGCGTAACTCTGTAGACAACTGACACTGAATTTCCATCAGCCGAATAAGTCATGCTTCTAACCTCACCAGACCATTCTGCAGATGAAAAAGGATTCAGATAAAAAAAAATTAAAAAACAGTTATGCTGCACAAATAGAAAATAATACAAAAAATCATAGAACCACAGGTGACCTGATCATACCTGGAGCATGTAAGTTCATGATCCTATTAATAACATGCCTGAAGAATTTTGAGAATGAACATGAGATTAAGGGCAAATCTTGATGCCTTTTTTGTTGCTCATGACAAATAAGTTGGTTGCACAAAGCATATCAACTAATAGATAAAAATATGCGCAGACTCGCATATAAAATGAGCTATATCCTCCGAATTTGTCTACTCTCGCATATAAAAAGGAAAATATGCACATAAGACAATATACTTATATGCTGATAGTCTACTAGTGTTTATATTTCCTGCAACATTGATCTTTCAACTTGTCATGTCTGCTAACTAACCTAGGGGCTAGGGCTGAAGAAAAAAACTGAAACTAACATACAAACCAACTAAAACCAACAAAACCAAAAGCATTTTGATTTTACAGTCTAAGGTTTATGTTATAAAAATCAATGGAATCGGCCGCAACAGGAAAAAATGTCCTAAATTTGCAAATACCAACACAAAACTGACAGATAATAACCAACCCGAAACCGACATAAATTACACGCTTCATTTCTTGGTTTTGCAATATCTAAAACTGTACTGATGAAAAACTGAACCAACTGAAATTGAGGTAATTGGATCTACACCATTGGATATCATAAACTTTCTAGCGAAAAGAGATAGAGAAGTAGACACATCCCATTGCACTTATGTAGTGACTGAGAGGGTCGAAGACCAGAAGTGAGTTGTTTAGACCAATATACCAAGCATTCTTCTTATGGCTAGATCAAATCTTTGTGTCCCTGCGGAAAGGAAAATGGAGTTCACTCTTCCTTTTGGAAAGGGGGGTTTAGGAAAATATGATCCACCTGCCAGTCTATCACCCCAGAAAGAAGGGGTTGATCTCGTAGTTCTTGGTCGGTGAAGATGTGTTGTTACTTGTGAGGTGCTCCATTTTATTTTCCCAATGAGGACAAGCCTAAGGAAGCATAACCCTAAGCTTTTAGTTTATTTAGAGCATATCCATTGATTCTCTACACTACCAAAATACCAAAGCAGAAAATAGAAAAACGTACCATGAAGGGCTGTTCCTAAAGAACTTTTTATGCTCTACCATAACCACCAGGACAGTAAGTAAAGGATGATCTTTGAATATCTTCATATGAATAACTGATACAGTTTGATTGTTTTTGTAGAATTTGAAAGATCAAACCACATTTGGAAAAAGCATAACAGCCACCAAATGAAGTTAGCATAGCTAATGTATATTCAGGAATCAACCACAAAATATCGTCATTGAGTTAAGGTCTCACAATTACAACTTACAACTTTTCAAGTATATGGTTGCAAGTATATTTCCCCAGCAAAGCAGTTCAGATTCTACCCAAAATAGTGGAGATCAAATTTAACAAAGCATAGACTTAGGAATTTACCTAATAAGTCCATATGCTTAAAAGCACATACACAAGAGGAGCTGACTAACCAGGGAATGTATTTAATAGGGAAACCGTCAGCTTCAGTACGAACTCTGATAAGGGAGTCTGGAACTTTCTTGTTGAGTTCTTTCAGTATTTCGGAGAGCGGACGGCTGATTCCGGAGGTCGGGACGGAGTCTTCATCTGCGTAGGCATTAACGTCCTTTTCTCTTTGGATGTTGCTAGTACCGGTAGATGAAAACGAGGAAGACGCCGCTTGTGCGGAGGCGCCCCGCTGAAAAAGGATGAACCTTTTTACAAGAGTGTAACGTGTCGACCGGACTAAAGAAGACGCCATTTCCAACGGTGTTATGAAGTCTGGAAAATCTACTGCCAGGAAAACCCCAAAAATTTGAAAGAGCCGATGTTAGCAGCGGATGCTTTTTTACTTCAAACCATACAACAATTCTTTATCATATCATATCAGATCAGAATAGAAAATTTTAGTCAAATAAAAACATCCTAATTTAACTCATATCATGAAGTGTATTGTACGTATAAGATATGAATGCTTGGTAATGCTTGTTAAACATATTTTGGTGTACACATTGTCTAACAATTATACAAAGTTGTGTACTCTCTATGCGTAAGACAGACAAGTGTACACCAAAATGTGTACACCAAAGCACGACTTATAAGATATACCCATGACTATTGTTTATTGTATACTCATTTAAAATATGTATTGTATTCATTTAAAATATTGTTAATTGTTTTTTATTTTTGAAAAACAAATAACAAATTTATTAATAAAAGATAACAAAGAAAAAGTGGTCGTCTCCTAGGTTATCCTAGGGTTGTTTTTTTCCGGCGGTAATCTTCGATTATCGGCTCGGCATCAATTCCGGCGGTGGTTTCTGATCATTGGTCCGGCTCGTTTTTTTTCAGTCTTCAATGAGCGTAATCAGTTGGAACTGTCGTGGACTAGCGAATGGAGTCACTATTCAGGGTTTGACGGACATAG